ATATATATATAATATATATTTCCTTCGTGGAGTCATCTATACTACATCCCTGAGATGATGCGGGATGACGGGGGATTAAGAAGCTGCCCCAAAGGAGCGTATATTTCAGCATTTTCCACTTGAACATCATGCTGAATGGATTGACACTTACTTGTTTGGACTCAATGGACCGTAGTTAACGCTGTGTATTGGTAAATCTAGGCACAATACGCCTTATCTATCAGCAGCAGCCAACCTAATTAGTAGCTAGTTGTCTCGGCTTACCTGGGTATTTGTATCTGACCCGAAAGTTTTCCCCTGGCTTGTGGTAGGGAAATTTTCACCCGGATATCATTGTCTTGAAGTTGTAGTGTCTGACGGTTGTACCGTCACTGAGAATTGTTCAGAACACACTGTTACACTACACCAGGTCAAGATTAGTCTTTGTTTTGCGGTATTTCACAACAGGAATATCTGTCCCACTTTACTGTGTCATTAGTTCTATTGCGAATTGTTGAGATTGTCAAAAGGTTCGAGAACACACTGCACTATTGTTCCTTTGTTCAAGGGCTTTGTTCACGTGACACGCATTTCCCCGTCTGTTTCTGAAGTTAATCTGCCCTGCGTAGCGCCCTCAGCCCTGGCTATCCCCTCCTTACAAAGGATTTGTTAAATTCAGCGTTATTTGTCTTCCTTGCTAAACACTGCAAGAGTATTCAATACAACATAACAGATTTCTTGTTGTCTGGGTATAGACGACAGTTCATCTTATTCCCACCTTGTAGTTACGGTGGTCCAGGGTTTTTCTGTACTTTTCCTGCAAAGGTGAAAACAGTCATTTTTCTCATTTCATTGTCACTCGTAATACAAAGAAAACTGTGGTGCAAGAAGAGGCGACGTGACCACGATCTGGTACACGCTGGTAGCTGCATATGGATGCAATTACTGATGATTACTGATGAAGGGGGCTGAAGGGGCTGAGACGGTTGAAATTTCCTTTCTGGAGAAATTTTCTCCACACTAACCTTATTATAACAAGCTCAATTTAATTTAGCCTAATCCAGCAAAATATATTTTAGATAAGTTGACAATAATTTAATAATAAGCAAACACAATGGAATATATATTTTTCGTTAGTTTTAGAATGATTTTTGCTAAATTATTGCGTACACAAATTTTTTCTTGCCTTATTCGGCAAGAAAAACATTCCTATTAAGCCAAAATAGCAAGTTTTACTTATTTGCGCAGGATATATGGTGTATAATGTATATATATGTATATATAGTGTATATATATTGTATATATTATAATATATTAATGTATATAATACGCAAAAATTCGCGAATAAGCGATGCAAGATGCAAAACAACCACGGGAGGAGTTGAAAGATAGCTCTAGGTCTTCCGTGTTGCAATTAACACATCATCAGGAGTTTGTAATGTTTCAGGAAAAATGATGACATCGGCGCAAACACGTTCACAGTGAACGTTTTCTAGCAAAACCGTTCATTGTGAACGTGTTTGCTCGGATTTGATCAAGCTGGTGGTCATCAAGCTGGTGGTCATCAAGCTGGTGGTCATCAAGCTGGTGGTCATCAAGCTGGTGGTCATCAAGCTGGTGGTCATCACACTGGTGGTCGTCAAGCTGGTAGGTCATCAAGCTGGTGGTCATCAAACTGGTGGTCATCAAGCTGGTGGTCATCAAGCTGGTGGTCATCACACTGGTGGTCATCAAGCTGGTGGTCATCAAGCTGATGGTCATCAACCTGGTGGTCATCAAGCTGGTGGTCATCAAGCTGGTGATCATCAAACTGGTGGTCATCAAGCTGGTGATCATCAAGCTGGTGGTCATCAAGCTGGTGGTCATCAAGCTGGTGGTCATCAAGCTGGTGGTCATCAAGCTGGTGGTCATCAAGCTGGTGATCATCAAGGTGGTGGTCATCAAGCTGGTGGTCATCAAGTTGGTGGTCATCAAGCTGGTGGTCATCAAGCTGGTGGTCATCAAGGTGGTGGTCATCAAGCTGGTGGTCATCAAACTGGTGGTCATCAAGCTGGTGGTCATCAAGCTGGTGGTCATCAAGCTCGTGGTCATCAACCTGGTGGTTATCAAGCTGGTGGTCATCAAGCTGGTGGTCATCAAGCTGGTGGTTATCAAGCTGGTGGTCATCAAGCTGGTGGTCATCAAGCTGGTGGTCATCAAGCTGGTGGTCATCAAGCTGGTGGTTATCAAGCTGGTGGTCATCAAGCTGGTGGTCATCAAGCTGGTGGTCATCAAGCTGGTGGTCATCAAGCTGGTGGTCATCAAGCTGGTGGTCATCAAGCTGGTGGTCATCAAGCTGGTGGTCATCAAGCTGGTGGTCATCAAGCTGGTGGTCATCAAGCTGGTGGTTATCAAGCTGGTGGTCATCAAGCTGGTGGTCATCAAGCTGGTGGTCATCAAGCTGGTGGTCATCAAGCTGGTGGTCATCAAGCTGGTGGTCATCAAGCTGGTGGTTATCAAGCTGGTGGTCATCAAGCTGGTGGTCATCAAGCTGGTGGTCATCAAGCTGGTGGTCATCAAGCTGGTGGTCATCAAGCTGTCTCCTTTATGTACTGACTCGCCAAAAATATTATAGAAGTGGACTTAAGACACTAAATACTAATTTAAACCTGAATGCGAGAATAAAATTTTGAGAAAGAGTAGTAAATATGGAGCCCAGGAGCTCGAGCTCCTTCACTATGAGTACTTATATGCCAGAACATATACTACAAGGGTCACTATAGTGAATGTTTAAGTTTTCTCGTGAGTACACACACACACACACAGTTCCTAAAAACTAAGTGCAATAGAGAATGGAAAAAGTACAGAAGGCATAGAACACATGAAAATACAGAGATTAGTCAAAGAGCCAGGAACGAGTATGCACAGGTAAGGAGGGAGGCCCAGCGACAGTATGAAAATAACAGCATCGAAAGTCAAGTCTGACCCGAAACTGTTGTACAGCCGCATCAGGAGGAAGACAACAGCCAAAGACCAGGTGATCAGGCTGAGGACAGAAGGTGGGGAACTCACAAGAAATGATCAGGAGGTATGTGAGGAGCTAAACAGGATATTTAAGGAAGTATTTACAGTAGAGACAGGAAGGGTTCTGGGAAGACAGCGCAGAGGGAAACATCAACATAGAATATACCAACAAGTGTTGGATGACATACGAACAACGGAGGAGGTGACTTTAATGCCTCAAAGGCGATGGGACCGGACAACATCTCCCCGTGGGTCCTTAGAGAAGACGGCAAATGTAGTCCCCATTTTTAAGAAAGGAGACAGAAACGAGGCACTAAACTACAGACCAGTGTCTCTGACGTGTATAGTATGCAAAGTCATGGAGAAGATTGTCAGGAGGAGAGTGGTGGAGCACCTGGAACGGAACAAGATTATAAACGACAACCAGCACGGATTCATGGAAGGAAAATCCTGTGTCACAAACCTTCTGGAGTTTTATGACAAGGTGACAGAAATAAGACACGAGAGAGAGGGGTGGGTGGATTGCATTTTCCTGGACTGCAGGAAGGCCTTCGACACAGTTCCTCACAAGAGATTAGTGCAGAAGCTGAAGGATCAGGCGCATATAACAGGGTGGGCACTGCAATGGATCAGAGAATACCTGACAGGGAGGCAACAACGATTCATGGTAAGTGAAGAGGTATCACAGTGGGTGTCTGTGACGAGCGGGGTCCCACAGGGGTCAGTTCTAGGACAAGTGCTATTTTTGGTATATGCGAATGACATAACGGAAGGGATAGACTCTGAAGTGTCCCTGTTCGCAGATGATGTGAAGTTGATGAGAAGAATTAAATCAGATGAGGATTAGGCAGGATTACAAAGAGACCTGGACAGACTGGACACCTGGTCCAGAAACTGGCTTCTCGAATTCAACCCTGCCAAATGGAAAGTCATGAAGATTGGGGAAGGGCAAAGAAAACCGCAGAATACAGGCTAGGTGGACAAAGACTGCAAACCTCACTCAAGGAGAAAGATCTTGGGGTGACTATAACACCGAGCACGTTTCCGGAGGCACTCATCAACCAGATAACTGCTGCAGCATATGGGCGCCTGGCAAAACTGAGAATAGCGTTCCGATACCTTAATAAGGAATAGTTCAAGACACTGTACACTGTGTACGTCAAGCCCATACTGGAGTATGCAGCACCAGTTTGGAACCCACATTTGGTCAAGCACGTCAAGAAGTTAGAGAAAGTACAAAGGTTTGCAACAAGGCTAGTTCCAGAGCTCAGGGGAATGTCATACGAGGAAATCGGCCTGACGACACTGGAGGACAGAAGGGACAGGGAAGACATGATAACGACATACAAGATACTGCGTGGAATAGATAAGGTGGACAGAGACAGGTTGTTCCAGAGAGGGGACACACAAACAAGGGGTCACAATTGGAAGCTGAAGACTCAGACGAGTCACAGGAATCTTAGGAAGTATTTCTTCAGTCATAGGGTCGTCAGGAAGTGGAATAGCCTAGAAAGTGACGTAGTGGAGGCAGGAACCATACATAGCTTTAAGACGAGGTATGATAAAGCTCAGGGAGCAGAGCAAGAGAGAGGACCCAGTACCGATTAGTGAAGAGGCGGGGCCAGGAGCTGAGTCTCGACCCCTGAGACCACAATTAGGTGAGTACAATTAGGTGAGTACACATGACAAGTTGAACAGAGACAGGATGTTCCAGAGATGGGACTCAGCAACAAGGGGTAACAGTTGGAAGTTGAAGACTCAGATGAATCACAGGGATGTTAGGAAGTATTTCTTCAGTCACAAAGTTGTCAGGAAGTGGAATAGTCTGGGAAGTGATGTAGTGGAGGCAGGATCCATACATAGCTTTAAGAAGATGTATGATAAAGCTCATGGAGCAGAAATAGTGACCCAGTAGCGGCCAGGGAAGAGGAGAGGCCAGGAGCTGTGACACGATCCCTACAACTACAACTAGGTGAGAGTACAACTTGGTGAGTACACACACACAACACAACACTCACCTTTTCCTTCTCATGGATGAGTGGCAGAGACTGAGTAACTGAGTCACGGTCCACTATACCGAAGGTGGTAGCCAGAAGGTTCCCAGCTGATGGTTTACGGTCACTGAGGAGTATGTGACTGTATGGTGGTCGCTTCCTGCGAGGACTTGGTGAGGAGCTGTTGAGGATCCTTGGTCATCCTACCACCACAACACCGTCACCGACAAAACAAAGTGTTATTTATTAAATTCGGCAACTTTACGTATCGTACAAATATATATGGGTTATAGTAAGGCTTTTTGCACCTGGAGAATGAGAAGTGAAGCGGAGAGAGAGAGAGAGAGAGAGAGAGAGAGAGAGAGAGAGGAGAGAGAGAGAGAGAGAGAGAGAGAGAGAGAGAGAGAGAGATTGTGGGAAATGTTGAATGAGCGTGAGGGGAGTTTTCAACTAAGTGAGAGAGTACTTGTGGTGGGGGACCTAAATGCTAAAGTGGGTCAAAAAGTTGTGGAGGGGGTAGTAGGTAAATTTGTGGTGCCAGGAGTAAACGAAAATTGGAAGCCCTTTATTGAACTATGTGTAGAAAGAGGTTTGATGATAAGTAATACATAGTTTATGAAAAAGAGGATAAATAATTATACCAGATATAATATAGCATGTAATGAAAGTAATTTGCTAGATTATGTGTTGGTGGATAGAAGGATGATGGGTAGACTTCAGGATGCGCATGTTTATAGAGGGACAACAGATATCGGATCATTATTTAGTTGTAGCTACAGTTAGAGTAAGAGGTAGACGGGACAAGAGGAAAATGGCAACTGCAAGTAAGAGAGAGGGGAAAGTTTATACACTAAAGGAGGAGGAAGTTAGGGGTGAGATAGTTGAATATCTTTATTGTGCACTCAATACTCATCCTGTGGGTGGTAGTCAAAAGATTACAGAGGCACATGATGGGTCCAGGGACTGGACCCCAAAGTTTTGATAGCTGAACAAGCTACAATGGTAATGAACTTTTACATGTCTATATCTGGTCACAATCATCAATTTTTGACAGAAAGGTTGGCTAGTGCGAGTATAGGTAGTGTGGGGGGTTGAAGAGGGATGAAATTGTTTTAAAAATGCAATGTTAGAATGTGGGGCAGAAGTTTGCAGCTATAGGAGGGTGGGTGCAGGAGGAAAGAGGAGTGATTGGTGGAATGATGAAGTAAAGGGCGTGATAAATAAAAAAAAGGTCACTTAGGAGAGGTTTTTACAAAGCAGAAGTGATAAAAGAAGGGCGAACTATATGGAGAGTAAAATAAAGGTGAAGAGAGTAAATGATGGAGTGGGAGAAGCACTGTCAACAAATTTTGCTGAGAATAAGAAAAAATTTTGGAGTGAGATAAATAGGTTAAGAAAGCCTAGGGAACGAATAGATTTGACAGTTAAAAACAGATTAGCGGAGTTAGTAGATGGGGAGTTGGAGGTATTGGGAAGATGGCGGGAATATTGTGAGGAACTTTTAAATGTTGATGAAGAGAGGGAGGCAGTAATTTCATGCACTGGCCAGGAAGGTATAACATCTTTTAAGAGTGAAGAAGAGCAGGATGTGAGTGTGGGGGAGGTGCATGAGGCATTAGTAGAATGAAAGGGGGTAAAGCAGCTGGAACTGACGGGATCATGAAAGAAATTTTAAAAGTAGGGGGGGATGGTGTAGTGTTGGAGTGTTTGGTATTTTTGTTTAATAAATGAACAAAAGAGGGGAAGGTACCTAGGGAATGGCAGAGAGCATATATAGTTCCTTTATATAAAGTGAAGAGGAACAAAAGAGATTATAAAAATTAAAAGGGAATAAGTTGACTGAGTATACCAGGTAGGGTTATTATTGAAATAATTAGATGTAAGACAGACTGTAGGATTGCAAATGAACAAGGAGGCTTTAGAGTGGGTAGGAGATGTGTAGATCAAGTGTTTACATTGAAGCATATATGTGAACAGTATTTAGATAAAGGTAGGGAAGATTTCATTGCATTTATGGATTTAGAAAAGGCATATGATAGAGTGGATAGGGGAGCAATGTGGCAGATGTTGCAAGTGTATAAAATAGGTAGTAAGTTACTAAATGTTGTAAAGAGTTTTTATGAGGATAGTGAGGCTCAGGTTATGGTGTGTAGAAGAGAGGGAGAATACTTCCCAGTAAAAGTAGGTCTTAGACAGGGATGTGTAATGTCACCATGGTTGTTTAATATATTTATAGATGGGGTTGTAAAAGAAGTAAATGCTAGGGTGTTCGGGAGAGGGGTAGGATTAAATTATGGGGAATTAGATACAAAATGGGAGTTGACATAGTTACGCGATACTGTGCTTCTGGGAGATTCTAAAGAAAAGTTGCAAAGGTTAGTGGACGAGTTTCGGATGGTGTGTAAAGGCACAAAGTTGAAAGTGAACATAGACAAGAGTAAGGTGATGAGGGTATCAAACGATTTAGATAAAGAAAAATTGGATATCACATTGGAGGAAGTATGGAAGTAGTGAATGTGTTCAGATATTTGGGAGTTGACTTGTCAGCAGCTGGATTTTTGAAGGATGAGGTTAACCATTGAATTGATGAAGGAAAGAAGGTGAATGGTGCTCTGAGGTATCTTTGGAGACAAAAAACATTATCCATGGAGGCAAAGAAGGGAATGTACGAGAGTATAGTGGTACCAACACTCTTATATGGGTGTGAAGCATGGGTTGTAAATGCTGAAGCAAGGAGGAGGCTGGAGGCATTGGAGATGTCGTGTCTAAGGGCAATGTGTGGTATAAATATTACGCAGAGAATTCGTAGTGTGGAAATTAGGAGTTACTAAAAGTATTGGTCAGAGAGCTGAAGAGGCGCTTCCTCACTCCCACAAGATGTTATACCTCTCTTGCCAATACATGAAATCATTGCCTCGCTCTCTTCATCAACATTTAACAACTCAAAATAATCCCTCCATCTCTCAGTACCTCCACCTCCCCATCTAATGGCTCACCTCTTTCATTTTTAACTCTTCCTGGAATCTACATGAAGGTTATTCCGGGGATCAACGCCGCCGCGGCCCGGTCCACGACCAGGCCTCCAGGTGGATCAGGGCCTGATCAACCAGGCTGTTGCTGCTGGCCGCACGCAGTCCAACATACGAATCACAGCCCGGCTGATCTGGCACTGACTTTAGGTATCTGTCCAGCTCTCTCTTGAAGGCAGCCAGGGGTTTATTGGTAATTTCCTTTATATATATATATGCTTGGTGGAAGGCTGTTGAACAGTCTTGGGCCCCGGACACTTATGGTGTTTTCTCTTAGTGTACCAATGGCGCCCCTACTTTTAATTAGGGGTATTTTGCATCGCCTGCCCAGTCATTTACTTTCGTAGGGAGTGATTTCTGTGTGCAGATTCGGGACCATTCCTTCCAGGATTTTCCAAGTGTAGATTATAATATATCTCTCTCTCCTGCGTTCCAACGAGTACAAGTCAAGTGCTTCCAAGCGTTCCCAGTAGTTAAGGTGCTTGACAGAACTTATACGTGCAGTAAAGGTTCTCTGTACACTCTCTAGATCTGCAATTTCACCTGCTTTGAATGGAGATGTTAATGTACAGCAGTATTCCAGCCTAGAGAGAACAAATGATTTGAAAAGGATCATCACTGGCTTGGCATCTCTCGTTTTGAACGTACTCATTGTCCGTCCTATCATTTTCTTTGCACTTGTGATCGTGGCACTGTGATCTCTCCAGTTTACTCCTGCTCTTCTTTATTTCGTACGCTTTCTCGACTTACTAATGTCACTCCATTTCTCTCATATTATCAGCTAAATTTGTCGATAAAACCTTCTCCCACTCTATCATTAGCTCTCCTTTTACACTCCCTCAATATTCCTTGAACCTATCTTTAACTCTCCATATATATTCTCCACCCTCTGCATGCCACTTCTACATTGTAAAAACCTCTCATGTGTTAACTTCTTCCTTAAGACTCTTTATCTCGTTATTCCACCAGTCACTCTTCTTCCCTCCTTCACCCACCTTCCTATTCCCACAAACTTCTGATGCACACTTTAACACTGTATTTTTAATCTAACCCCATACCTCCTCGGTTTCTTTTTCATCTCATATACGCTTTAATCCATCTTTTTCCTCATTGTTGTTTATATTTTACCCTCATTATCGTCTCCTTTGTGGTGAGTCTAACCTTCACATCAGTGGGTTGTAAGTGCAGGTGGTAGTGTTAGACTCGCAACCAAAGAACCTGGGTTCAGTCCTGGAGTGAGTGAACATAAGAACATAAGAAAGGAAGAACACTGCAGCAGGCCTGTTGGCCCATACTAGGCAGGTCCTTTACAATTCATCTCCCACTGGGAGAAGTATTTACGAGTCTCCTAGCTAGCACCTACTGTCCCTGTTAACCTAGTAGTAAGCAGGTACGTGGATGTTAGCAGTTTGTTGTGGATGGCATCCCTGGGGAGAGGAGGTGTGGGGGGGGGGGGGGGAAGCAGCAGCCTGATAAGCCACTCTGTCACTTATTTGGCTTATCCTGGATTTAAACCCTCTGGAGATGAAAATTAATCTTCTCCTTCGCCTTCATCTTCGTATTCTTTTCCTCCATTTTCTTTGCTGCCGTCTTCATCCTCACCTTCTTCAGTTTTTTCCCACCTTCTTGAAGCATAACATGGATCATGCTGAGTGTTTCAGGTTGGTTGATCAGTGTTGTGTGTGAGAGCCTGGTGAGTGTCTCTCAGCAGCTGTTGCCACCCACCACTTACACCATCACCCACGTACACAAACTCTCTTCCACACCTCTTACTGACGCCCCAGAGAACATCTAGTCTCGTTCTCTCTTAACCCGACTTTCTCCCACCACGTTTTCTTTTGCACTAACTAGGTTTTATTACACTAACTAGGTTTTATTTTCCTTTCTTTTGGGTGGTGTGTTGCATGCTGTGTTTCCTTGCATGCCTCGTGACCTTTGCAAAGTAAGCGATGGTGTTGGGTTGGTATTCTGGTGTTGGTGTTCGTGACAGGTCAACATCACTCCGCAGCTGAGGATACACCATGATAACTCACTTCATTATTCCGTTTTCCTCTCTTCTTTCTCTGTCTCTAATTTTTTAATCTGGTCTTTTTCCTCTTCCTCTCTTTTTGGTTTCATTCTTGCCCTCTTCATAATAATAATAATAATAATAATAATAATAATAATAATAATAA